CTATCCAAGCAAAGACATCAAGTAATGAGATACCATGATATGGTGAATAACTGTATATTTAATTATCTTTTCATAAATCCATCCTTGAATTTCCATCACCTGGCAGAGATCACAGCTCATACCATATATTCAAACATTATTGAAAATTTAGTAATTTCATTAATTTAAATGAATGGGTCATATACATTAGTTTTAATAATACTCTACAAGGTAATACCCTTAGTTTTTGGATGGATATCAATTACTTTTGCTCTTGGTTATAGATCTATGATCTATAACCTCTCGTCCCCTGCCTCCAGAATAATGCATATTCTTGTTGAAAAAAGACTGGGACTAATGCAAATAACACATATGAGAACTCTCTGTACAGTATAAATGCAAATAGGAGATTTTGTAGAAAAAGCTCTAAACCAGAAGTCAGTAAACCCAAGTTCTATTCCCAGGCTTCTTTCTAATTAGCTGTGTGACCTTTCTAGAATCAATTATCATTGCTGTGTCCCCTGTTCTTAATTTAAAAGAGTGACTTGTACTAGATAACTACTAATTTTTTCTCATCTCCTTAGTTATATATGACAGTAAAATGATAAATGAATTATTTCCCTTGCCTCTATTCCTTTATAATTGTGTCTGGTGAAGATTACCCTTTGTTTCTAAGGTCAGCACATGATCCAACTAAGGGAGTTCTCTTTTGAACTTCCCTGGGATTCTATTTCTAGCTCTATTCAGGTTCAGTGTAGCAAAATTTTTGAGTATAGGTTCTGGAGTCAGACCGCCTGGTTTTATGATCCAGCTTTGTAACATACTAACTGTAAAATCTTGGAATTTTTTTTCGATTCTTTGTTTTCTCATTTACTTATGAGATCTCAATAATAGCTATCTCATAAAGGTATTGTAAGATTAAAATGGGATGATGTTCTAAAAGTATTTAGAGGAGGCTTTACGCCAGAGTACCTGTTCAAAAGACAATAAATTGCTATTAAAAAAAAAACACAATGATATTCCAAAGGAACACTAAGTCCCCTAACTTTCAAGAATACTTAAGATATAATATGAATAAACAGTTTGACTCTGTTTTAAAAAGATTTATTTGTTTATGCAGACAAGAGCTGGGGTGGAGGCCAGAGGTCTGTGGGGGGATGAGAGGATTCATCAGAGACAGAGGGGGGAGCAAAACAGGCAGCTCTACTGAAATACACTGATGAGGGGAGGAGAGCAGAGGTAAGACAGGAAAGATCTGCTGTGCCATGTGGGTCAGCTCCTTGGCCAGGGATTGAACTCATGAATTCATGCTGCACTGCCTGGCGATAGCTTGATAGTGCTGAGACTTTAATCCCTGTGTCACCATGGAGGACCCAGCAGTTGAACTCTTGTAGAATGCCCCATGGTGTCATTTTGCCTTCTTTTGCTTGTGTGCCTCCTATTTAGAAATCTGTTGGAAGAGTTGGAATTTTGTCCCCCTAAAACCTCAGAATGGGACACTGATTTCTTTGTGATCTTTGTAACATTTAATATTTTCTTATCTGATAGTCATGTCTATGGCAATATAAGAATAGACCAGTCATATTACAAATCAAATCCCTATATAACACATTAACTTTTACTTAATTTTAATCAAGCTAAAGGCATCCTATTATTTTTTACGATTATGCTTTCTATACTGGAAATGTTTGCAAATTATTGTAAAAGTCAAAACTCCAGCAAAATTTTGTAGTACACCAACAGAAAAAAAGTAATTGAGGACTGAAGCAGAATATATCCTGTTTTCATCCCATAAGAGTGAGAGACATTTTGTATGTGTTGCTGGCTAACTGCACTCTTTAATATACTATTCAAATAATTTATTTGTGTTGCCCAGCTGAATGATATCCACATTAAAATGATATTTATGGACAGGGTGACTTACAATCTGCTGTATTTGTTTATGTATTCAATTCAAAAACGTTTGATAAATTGATTGCTAACATGATTTTCTTGTCAAATATTTTCAAAAACCTCATTTATTACTAAGAATCATTATTTAATTATTCAAACTTCAACATGGTTATTTTCGGTGATGTAAGTTGGTTGTGGATTTTGTATTTTGCTTGTATAAGTATAAAATCGCATGTAGTAGAAGATATCCCTATTGACTATATATAGAGAGGTTCAACAGCTTAATGTAATCCTTGTAGAGATTATAAGAGTTTGCCCAGACATAGAAAAAATCAATGATGAGCATATTTTATAAACTGAAATTGATGCGAGAGTAGACATATGTAGAGAATAGACATTTTTCTGCTTGTGAGTTGGAGTCAAATTATATTTTCCTTTCATAAAATACATTGCCTTACTATAAATGGCATTTCATTAAAATACTCATGGAAAATGCTGCTGAAGTGTTGGGAAAAGAAAAGTATGTTACAGTCTAATGCACTGTGGAAAGGGTAACATCATAATTTACCATTCTTAATTCCAATTCCAAGCACTATAGCTATATACATAGTAAAATTCCATATACAAGCAACATTAGCCTTAAATTTATACTGGTAAATGTTTTATTATAGTGGCATAGTTCCCTCATCAGCTCTGCAAGCTTATCAATATCTATGCCTATAAACATGCCTTTCAAATGATAGAGTTAAAGTTCTTTTCAGACAGTGTTTTATTACCTTTCTGTAACTTAGCTTGTTTTAAATTATGTTTAGTCACCTGATAAATGCATTTCATCTTTCGTTTTCTGAAGAAGTAATGTGGGTTGAAGAAGTAAAAAGCACTGTATTTAGGGTTGGAGGACAGCACCTATTATGGATCTATCAAGTAAAATGCAAAGAAAAACTGAATACAGTTCCATCTTTGGAAAATATAAAACATCATAAATACTACTATACACATGTAACTTTCTATGGGATTAAAGAGGAGGAAGCTTGCAACTTACTGTTTTGAAGTCAAATTATATTTTCCTTTCATAAAATACATTTTTTGATGATAAGTGGCAATGTGCTTTTGAAGAAAAAAAAATAGGATATATTTGAGAAGAAGTTGCCAGATAGAAAAAGGGAAAAATGGTCTTTAAAATCAGAACATAAACACACAATATGTATAAAGAAATAAAAAGAAACTCCTGAAATGTGCTAGTATTCTGATATAGCTTTATTACCGTATGTGTGTGCTGGTGGTTTGTTTGGGTTATGAAGAGGATAGAGAAATATGCAGATTGCAGGAAGTAAAACGGAACCATTACAGAGTGTTGTAACTTTATGTACCAAGTCATGATGACTTCAAGAAATTTAGCAGAGGAATGAAGTTATCTTTTTTTTTTTTATGTTCAATATATCACTGTACACTCTGGATATTGCTAGGTGGAAAAAGAAACTTGCAGGAGTGCTAGTTAGGAGATTATGGTAGTAGGTCACAAGGAAGAAGTTTCTAGAAAGAATGGGCATGAAGAGAATAACTTTATACCTTGTTACAAACACTTTACCTTTCCTTAAAAAGGTAGCTAGGTAGTTAATAAATTTTGCACTGACTCAACAAATACATTCTAATTATCTCAATTCAAATTCTTCTTTTACTCTATTCAATTAAACTTTTCATACAGAATTGAGGTATAGGCAGAGGGGGAGGGGGTGAGAGGATTCACCAAAGACAGAGTGGGAAGCAGAACAGACAGACTGACTGCAACACACTGCTGAGGGGCGCAGCAGGCAATAGAAGGAAGGACTGCTTTGCCTTACATGGGTTAGCTTCCTGGCCAGAGCTTGAACTCAGGTGGGAGTGGTGATGGCATTGAAATTTAACCCATAGGTCACCAGCAGGTCCCCATTTTTATTTTTATCCAAGTTTCTTACCCAGTTATCTAAAAGGACACAATAGGATCACTCACATCCTAGTTAAAACCTTTCTCAACTTACAATGGGGTAATGTCTTCATAAACCTATCATAAGCTGAAAACATCGCAAATCGAAAATGGCATATGGTGACGATAATGGGTGCTTTGGCAGTGGGTGAGGTGTAACAACATACATTTGTGACCTAGGCCACTCAAACACAGACAGTGTTGTAAATCAAATTTACTTCAATAAACACCATTTACAAAATGTATGAAATGAACCTAATCTACCTGATACCATCGCTTTGTCTAACCTCCCTTAACTGTACCTTGAACAATTATTCCGTAGATAGACAACCAGATCTTAACAGTAAGAGTATTTTATAAGACAACATTGAATATCTATATAATTGATTTAATGATTTATTAAAAGTCAAAAAAAAAAAGATTCTGTAGAGGTTACTTTTTTTTTTTTTTTATGATTGTGTTAACTGGGAACTGCAATTCGTTACCACTACAGAGTATTACATGAGTAATACACATTGCTACCCCAGCTCAGATCACAGTTCAAAAATAAAAGTACAATTACTACTATTACTTCCACACACCATTATAAAGTGAAATCCTAAGTTGAACCATCTTAGGTCCTATGTTGGGGACCATCTGTACAGCATTATTCTTCTCATCTTTGCATTTGGATCAGGTTCAATTCTTTGTTCCTGTGTTACAGAGTTTCTACCTCTGTTTGGCTTTTATTTTCTTGGCTCCCTTTACTGTCTTATAGGATCTTGAGGTTTGGGATCCTGCCATGGCTTATATTATTTGATACAGATTTCTTTGACCATAAACACTGGATGAATGTATGTTGAAAACCGATTCCATATCAATTCTAATTTCAAATCTAATTTAGTGATAAGAAACTGCTGAGTAGCATCTGTGGTCTTATAGGACATAGAAGCCCTCGTCTATCACAGAGGCAATAAGCGGAAGTGCACTTTGTGATGATTGAGATTAGTCATGTGGTGACTGTGGTTAGTCAATATCATTTCTGTCTGATGCTCATTCTGGATGCATTCCCTGCGAACACAGCCATCCTGCTGTGAGAAAGATCTGCCCACGTGAGAGGTTTATATGTGACAGAACTGAGATCCTAGGCCCTTCGTTTTTTTTTTTTTTTTTTTTTTTAGATAAAATAGGCATTTATTCTGAGGGTATAATGCCAAGAAACACCACCCCCTACCCTGCACCCCCAGGCCAGCAGGAACGGGAAACAACGCCACCATTGGCTCACACCAGCAGGCCAGGGAGGTCCGGGCTCAGCTGGAGCTGTGGCCTGCCTGCCCATTGCCCAGGTCAATATGTCCTGTGTCCCAAGGATCTGTAGTGTCAGGTGAGGTGGCAAAGGAAGTCGTGCAGAGGCAGGGCCAGGAGCCCTGATAGTGAGATCCCCAAGGTATCGGAGACACAGGCAGCTGCCATGGCGAATTCCCGGTGCTTGGGACTGGTCTCTAGGGAAATGTTGTGGAAGGTATTCACGTAGGCTGCACCCCCTAGGAGCCCTTCAAACAGAATGATCAGGAAGACGAAGTAGATGCTTGACAGGAAGCTCAAACATACGTCCGCCAAAAGGAAGGCCAGAGTGAGGCACTGCAGCAGGGCCAGGACCCACGTGTAGCGGATGTGACAACAGCGGAGAGAAGAGCGGGAGGCGAAGACGCCGGCCTGGTACAGCATCTGGTACCAGCGGTACTGCTGAGCGTGGCTCAGGGCCGTGTTCCGGAAGAAGAGGAGCTCAAAAAGCCCCTGATTGATGAAATACTCGGCAAAGTACACCAGGACCAAGGGGATGATATACCGCAGCAGGCCCTTGAACACAATCCACTTCTCCCGGGGGGAGAAGTCTGAGCTGGGGCCTGGCTTTGACTTTGGGGCCTCATTCATCAGGGGCTGCCGAGCGGCAGTATCTGCCTCATCTTCCCCTCCAGGATCCTGGAGCTCAGGAGATATGAGCAACCAGAAATAGCTGACCAGCATCAGGGCGGGGATACCCAGCATGGACAGCAGGGTGTGCTGGGGAGAGAGGCCGACCTGGGTGAGGCCCAGGTAGGACAATGCCCCCAGGAGCCCTGCTCCCCCAGTACCGGAGGACCACCAGGAGATCACAGCCCTTGGGTAGAAGGCGGTGAGTGACAAGAAGGTGACTTCTCCCAGGCCTGATGAGATGCTAGCTAGGACCACACCACACAGACTGATGGTCACAGAATGGGACCAGGCAACCAGGATGAAGCTGCCAGCTGCAGAAACCCCGCTAACAAAAACTCGGGGGCTGTAGGGCAGCAGGTGAAGACCAAGAGGAGCCAGCAGTTTGATGACAAGCGTAGGGAGGATGTCGGCCAGGAGCACTGCAGCTGTGGACACAGAGTTGCAGTCAAATCGAGACGAACTATTGTGGGGTGTGGGCGTTGGGCTTGGGTTTACATGGCTCTGGTTCCCTGGTGCCCTGTGGTGGCTAAGGATGTCATGGGCAGCACTGAGCATCACTACATAGGAGAAGTTGTTGCAAAGGCCCAGGAGCCAGAAGCCCACCGCGTTCCTCCAATGGGTGCCCTGACGGTCCAACAGAGGGGGCAGTGGCTGTGTGGCAGTGTCCTCTTCTTCTGAATCGGAAAGGCGCCGCCGCACTCCTTCACTGCTTTCCATGATATCAACTTCGGTCCCCCGAAATGTCCAAAATCAGCGAGAGTTCAGACTGGCTCCGACAGGGTGGGCGAGGGTCTACGTCTTTAAGAGCAGTCGAACATTCCGTTCGAGGGTACAGCAGGTTGGTGGATCACGTGACCCCACTGGAGCGTCCAGCTAACTACTGTCAATATCAGTCATATGAATGTATGTCTCATGACTTATGGAAGGCTCTTCCTCTTCAACCCTTCACTGCATTACAAACTATGAAGAACATAAAAAAAGTTGTTGTGTGACTTGTTAAAAGGCAGTATTAACCTGAACAAGACTAGCAAAACATTCATAAGATTTTCATCTTGTATTGTAGGGGTGAGGGGTGCCTGGTGAAGAGAATGTTACTCCAGAATAGTCATTATTGCTCGGTTTGGCTGCATCTGAATTCTTGATGCTAAGAAGGGGGGGGGGAGTAATTAGCCCCGTAGTTAGTATATGAAATAATGGTGCATTTATAATGATGCACACACATAAATCAAGATGAAAAAGGATAATAAACGCTTTTAAATTTTTTAATAAAAGTGTTTTTCAAAGTGACATTTGTCAGATTTAACTGTGAAATTTGTAAAACATGTTAGTATACTTAAGAATCAGCAAAAAAGATCCATGTCATTTACAGCTTTAAGAATCTCAAAATATGGCCGTCCCTGGTGGCATTGCGGGTTAGTGCACTGCAAAAGAAGCTTAAGCCACTTCTGCATGAGTTCCATCCCCGCCTACTACCATGGCGTGGCAGACCTCTCCTGACCTGCCCACTGTTCCCCTCAGCAGTGTACTTCGTGGATCTGCCTGTTCTGCACTCAACTCTGTCCCTGGTGAATTCTCTCACCCTCCGCATCTCTGCCCTGTATCCCAGTTCTGTATGAATAAATAAATAAATCTTAAAAAAAAAACACCTCAAAATATAACGCATACTTTTTTCACCATTATTTCATGTTTCATTTCAAATATACATAACTTATGTTACGTATATGTACTTAACAATGTTAGCAGTAACATTGCTAAGCTTGTTGCCAAATCTTAATTCAGTTATATATATATATATATACTTAGTTTAATATGTTACTGGTACCGGAGATATAGGAATTGAATTAAATATCTCAAAAATGTATTTTCTTCAGCTCTTTCAACTATTATGAAATATCTATAATTCTGATTCAAAGTGGCCTATGTTATCTTCTCTAAAACAATTTTTCTGATTTCATCTTCACAATACAGGTTGTATGGTACTGTGTCTTTCTGAATGTTTTCTCTTAGATGAAAAAGTCCCTGAAGGGATTATCAACCCAATGATTCAGATTCAGCTGTGTGTTTTCCATTTTATTGACCTGAAGCAATGCATATATTTTCTAAGCGATACAGACAACTTTGGGGGGCAGGGAGGGTAATTCTGTAAGTATGGAAATTGTTTTATTATTTACTCTGCATTTTGATGCAGAAGTCATTCCAAGAATGATTGACAAAAAAAAAAAAAAAAACATTGATAGGCAGAAACACATAAAATCAGTGTGAGAAAAATTATTGAGTAAAAAAATCATTGAGTATAACATTATTAGCCATTTTATATTTCTCATTTATATTTTATATTTCATTTTATATGATTCTTAAAAACCTTCTACAAAGATATTAAAAATATGTTCTAAGAATATCCACACTACTTACTGATTATTGTCATTAATATTCCTTGGGCTCAGTAAATTCAGAATACCGTAGCTCAGATATTTTGACCCTGAAATTTATTAAAGTCTCAGAAACATTATCCTATGGACATACAATGTTGAACAACAACAACAAAAAATGTACTAAATGATAATAAAATCTTATTAGAGTAGCATTTTGCAATTTATTCAAATCATTATCTAGATATGTAAATATCTTAAATTTTGTCAAAAGAGGGTATTTATGATTTAAAACATAGAAATACTCTCTTTGAAGACTAAGTATGAAAAGTGGAAGCAAAGGGTTATTAGATGAATAAGGGCAATCAATTAGTAAACACTGCACTCCAATGAGAGATTAAACTTGCTTTGAGAAAGGCCCTACAGCCATGAGAAATAAGATAACAATAATGTTGAATGGGGACTGAAGTGAACTCATGGTTTTTAAGATGATTGATTGATAGATATAGATAGATAGATAGATAGATGCAAACAACATGGATAGATTATTTGATTTATATATACATTTAGTGATACATTTATAACTTAATTGGCTACTTGTAAGCTTTTATTCTCTTTGATCATACTACCATGAGTTCAAGACCATTATAAATATGTTTCACATTCTTTAATCAACAGTCAGCTAGTTATTTTGGTGAATATATATTCCTCTGTTAGGAAGATAGAAGTTATTAAAGAGAACATGAACCCCAGTGGAATGTGTTCTGGCTCTTTATCTCAAACTGGTTCTTAAAGGTTTTCATTTCCCCCTTACAAGGTTAGTTTACTTACTGCACATAAGAGAATTAAAAGTGAAACTGGAGTTCTAGAGCAGGAGATTGATGTCCGAGTGTTTAATATAAAATATAAATGTCTAGAAGATACAGAACTGTGAGCGCAAGTCTTCCACTTAACAAACTATCTCATGTGTACAGAATGGATTGCCAGCTGTCTCAGCATGCCAGAATGGAACATGGCATCTTCTTTCCTGGGTAATTTTTCCTTCTGTGTTCCTGTTTCTTGCTTCTCACCCCAGGCAGGAAGTTCACCATCGGTGTCACTTACCTTCTTACATAATTTGTCATCCGTCCATTTTTTATCTGGAGTAATCCCTCCTCACTCCTCCCTCTTTTCCTCCCTCCCTCCCTCCTTTCTTAAGCTTTCTCCTCCATACAGTTATAATGAAATAAATTATATATATATATATATATTATTTTCTTCTAAAATAATTTATAGATGTAGACAGCCTAAGAGGGGTAGGGTCAGCATGGGAATTAATTTGTTAATGCCCTTCTCCTCTAACTTAAAGACTTTCATATTCCATGAAAACTGTATCTATTTCCCCATGTACATTTATGTATCTCACCTCACACGTTATCTACACTTATCCTTTCATATTTTAGATGCTTTTTGCACATTGATATATAGTAATATTTTAATGTTTAAAATTTTATATAATTATCTTTGTCCTCTGCTTGTTATGAAATCTCTTGCTAAGATGGAAAAGCTGAGGTTTCTAAATTTCTTTATTCAGAGTACAATGCATGTTTTCAAAAAATGATAATTGAATTTAGACACCTATAGATCAAAATACCCATGGCAGTTACTTAATAAGCATTCCAAGTTTGTTGCTCTCCCCAAATCTATAAAACTCTTTTTAAAGTCAGTGGGAGTTCTCCCCCCACAAAGGTTTCACACAAGAGGAAAAGAAAAAGCATTTAAACATAAATAAATAGAGCAAACTTTAATAAACCCTCACCATAGGTATTTACCTGAGGGACTAGAACAGCTGCAATGTAAAAACCTGCTTAATAGCCCTCTATTAAAAAAATTGTTGATTTAAATTAAAATCCAATGCAGGCTAAGTTGTAAATAAACAAGTTTCACATATTTCTAAAAGTGTGGTAATACAAAGGTATGCTAGCTACCAAATATCTTAAATTATTGCATTGTTCTGTTTTTCTTTACACCCTACTATGTTGAATGATTGATTAAAGTCAACTACATAATTCAATACAAAAATAATTAAATACACTTTGTGTATCAGTGTGACTTGCTAGAGTATATCAAGTAGTTTTGAAGCAAGTAAATAAGAAAATTAATTGCCAATTTTCTCACAGAACATAGCTTCTTAAATGATAAAAACCTTGTATGACTGCTTCAAGATTTTCCATGACAATAAACAATTTGGAAGTAATTCATCTCTTTTACTTTAGCCCAGTCTTTAAAAAATAAAGCTCTATTTCTTCAGAACTCTTGCTGCTTCTTCATTTGTAGTCACAATTCTTAGTTTATGGCACTCAAATTATTCCATAGCAATTAATCCCAAAGTTATAAATATGATAATGGGCCCAAGAAGTAAATTTATATCTTTCCTCTTCCTTTTTCTAACAAACAAATCGTTTCTCAAGTAAAACACTTAGGGAAAATATTTTGAAATGAAACTCAAGCAAGCCCACTTCTCTCCCTCTCTCTTTGTACCCCAAATGTCAAGCTCCCTAGGGCCAAATAACCTTGAATTTGTGTGTCTTAGTGATGTCCATCTTGGTTCCCTGCACATTGTAAATTAGCCATAATCACAATGTGTAAAAAAAATGTTTTCTTACAACTAATTTTTCTTTTACTTTCTTAGATCATAAGAGCAACATGTGCATCACCATTTATAAAATCATTGACATTTTAACAACAAAAATATTACTGATATTAATGCAACTATTAAATTCCTTCACACTAGTCACCCCATGAGAGAGGTATGGCAGGAGGGTTAGATTTTGTACATATATTTACAAAAGGTTTTAGCCTTGCAGAGTTCTAATCAATGGAATGTGACACTGTCAGAATAGCAATGAAGGAATTTTGAAAGTTGAGTTCATTTTATTATACAAAAGATATTTAAGATTTTTTTTTTTTGTATATAAGGAATAAAGGCCCTGAAAATGGGCTATTTTTAATAGGAGATGTTCAAAGTCAAAAACTAAAAAGGGGAAAATTCTTTGAAGAGGACTTTGAAAAGTACTTTGACAGTATTAATAAAGGGAAAAAAGGAGTTAAGCTCAGGCTGCCAACTGATCTTTGTAATGGTGGACCAAGAAATGATACAGACAGGGTCCTTGGCCTTTCCCTGATAACTGCATTTTAAGGATCCTGTGAGGTATTTGAGATCTCAAGTATGTTTTAAACATTTAGTTAGTCTTACCTATGCCGTAACTTACACAGGTCCCATATTTTTCTAGTATGTCAGGTCTAGTTCCTCTGGAGAACAAAGGCATAAATAAAAAGGACAACTTGTGTCTATCTTCTTAACAGAGTTCAAAGCACAATTACCTTTGCATAAAGTACATCTGCCAAACTCAAAATAACTTGCAACCCAGAGAATAAATAAAAAGGTATCTTTCCACAGAAATCAATGCTTTTTAAAAAAATG